ATGCATCAGGCCTAACACCATGGAAAAGATGAGCTTCCCTTCACCCCAGGCAGTACACTTACGTGTGTACCTGTCATATTATGCTGTAAGTAACTTCAAATTCCTAGGATGAGCCACAAAAACATCATTTCACTTCAATCAAACTGGAATACTAGCATTTCTTGGAAGTAAAACAAAGAATCAAGTATATCTAGCCATCATCCAGTGAATTTACTATTATTCAAATATTTATTTTCTGTACATTTTCTTACCTTATATTCTGAACTGAGGAATTTAACGACTCATCTGGAACATTACTGGTTACAGCTGCTTGTCCTTCTGTGAGGGGCTGCAATGGCTGCATTACATGAACTGTCCGAAAAAGCTGAGTGGGTTGCACTGGCTGTGGAGATTGCATTGTCCTCAAAACTTCAGAAGTCAAGCCAGGTGTCTGCTGCTGTACAACTTCTACTTGCTCCTTCAGCTTAGCAGGCTTTGAGTTTCCTGTTTTTACTGCTGAGGTTGATCCTCCCTTTGTTCCTGCATTTGCAGATGCTCTAGTTCTGCTTGATTGGTTTCTGTTGGCCACAGCAGGTGAGAGCAGAGTTGAATCTGACGATTCATTGCTAGGGCTTGCATCTTCATCATCAATATAGATGAGATCTTTTGGCATGTCTTTAAATTGATATACCAGGCGCTGACCTTCTACTTTAGCAAGGATTCCTCTTTGGTAATAGTATCTGTTTAAAGTGCATCCACATCAAGTTACACAGGTTTTTTGCCAAAAACAAAACCAAACAACCAAACTCCCAGAAAATAAACACAGCACCAGCAAATCAAAAAATTTTTATGTGTCTAGTTTCTTCATTATAAAAAATGGCCTATGTAATAGTGTACTTTCTTCCCCTCAAGCAACTCTTTTTTTACTGATATTTCATGCCACCTTTTAACTTCAAACATAGATAACTCTAAGGAGAGAGAGAACTCTGTGACTTGGCAGATCTGCTACTAACTCACACTTTGTAAAAAGTTGCACAAAACTTTCAATTCTCCTTTTGACTCCTGCAGTTCTTCCAATTATCAGAATTTGTGTTTATTCACCAGAGAGCACAGGCAGACATTTTCGCTACAACAAAGTGAACAGGACAGGAGGGTACTGTTTCTGTTATATTTACAAACTAGTAGGACAACGTGAAATTATTCACACCAAGGTGAGGGGAAATGAAATGCATGCAGCTCAGTTGGACAATTATCAATCAGCTGCTAAGACTGAAGCTCCATAGTTGTCTACTTAGTTTGCACAGATTTTGTGTATGAGAAAACTCCCAGCCTGACAGGGAGTGGCACATAATTCTATGTTTTAGAACTGTATGTACACAAAAGTTCAGAGAAGTGAAGCCAGAACTGAATTCTAAAACTGTATTTTCCACTGGAGATGGAATCATATGCAACAAGTAGAAATAATTTGATGAAAACACATGAATGTTGGTGATTTTTTACAAAAGATTCTAATTTTATATAAAAGATTTGCCCCACTTGAAATCTTCAGCCTCTTACTTAAGTCTGTGTCTGACTGTGAAGATGCAGTTTTGCAGCAGTACTGAAAAACCCCTATGCCGAAACTGAAGGTGACTTATTTGGAGTTGAGGTTAGTGAGGGTTACTTTTAGTTAGCTATTTTGCTGAAATAACATTTTCATTTCCCAAACTAACAGAATACTAGGTTTTTCTGTTATTCAAATTAGATGAGACATTTAATGGAACAAAAACAGTCTACTATTAAAAATGCACATACCTGAGAGCTCTACCCATTGTTTCATAATTCATGTCAGGTTTGTTTTTGTGTTTTCCCCACAACCTGGACACAGCTTTGGAATCGACCAGTTTGAAAATGCCCTTCTCTCTTTGAGTCCATTTGATATATTTAGGACATGTAGCTTTGTCCTGGAGCAGTGCTAGTAAGAACTCCCAGAGATAAATTGTATTTCCTAGAATAAAAGAATTTCAGAAATGAAACAAAAAAAAAAAAAAACCCACAAAAAAAAAAACCAGCAACAACAAAAAAGTTACTTGGCCATATTTTATATAATCATGCAAATAATCTTAAAATTAAGAAGTTGGTATCTTTACAAAATACATTATAATATATAATCAAGACTAGGAAATAGTGATGGAAGAGCATGGGAAGGGAAGTTATTATAATCCTGTGAGTTATCATAATCTAGGTGTCCAAATACCCCAGCCACTCTGTAACCTACTGCCACTCCATTAGGACCACCAACAGCATTAGTCACCCATGTGCCCATTTCCCTCCTGCCTAATCCAATTACAGAAGCAGTCACTTTACCTTGAAAAGGAACATGTTCAGTTCTATCCCCTAAAAATGCTGGAAATTAAGCTGTTGCTTAAATGCTTTGCTGAATCGAGGTGAGTGTTATAATCCTTTAAAAGGCTAAACAAGATCCTTGCCTTTAACAATGAGATTTATGTGGAACAATCAGTGATATGTGCTGAGGCAGGCAAACCTTCAACAACAAAGTATAGAAAAAGGTAATTTTTTTTTAATCCAGTGAATGTTTGTGCTTGCTGGTAGACAACATTCAAATTTCATTTTACAAATAAGCAGGGACAAACACTTCTATATGGAAATCCATCACATCTGTTCAGTGTTTACCACATATAAAGAGAGAGTATTAAAATCACAGATTGTGAATACTTAAAACTCACACAAAATTTGCATTTTTTTTCTTCCAAAACCACATTTAAGGAGTCTAAAATCATACAGCTAATGAGACCTTTTTTCCTGCTTTTTTTAAAGGCTTTTGGTATTTGATGTTCTTTTGGGAATCTGACGCTTCACATAAGCTTCTTAGTTGTTAGTCTGAGAAACCAAGAAAAAACGTGTATCACCTCCCACAAGTAGCTGTGCAAAAACAGCAAGGATAGCATGTGCTGAAGTTTCACAAAAAATTATACCCAGCAGATCAGAAGGTGACAGGATCTCTTTTCATAGCTTCAATTTAGCCCAGCAGATTTTTTTCAACTTTAAGGACCATCAATCCGACCTTTTTTTCAATGAGAAAAAATGAAAACCCTATAATACGATATTATAAAGTACATTTAGCAAATATTCATCAAAATCATCAGCACTGCCAATGCAAAAATGTTAGCAGCTCCTTCAGCAGGTGGAAGCTTGAAAAATGAGCATTCCTAGAGAAAAAAACACTGCCTTTGCAACAAATGTCTCCCATCTTACAAAAACCAGCCTCCTGGCCCTCAGATACCCCAAAGGCAAAGACAGACTGCTTAGGCAAGACAATGTCAGGAGTGAGAGCATTCCCAGCCATTTACCACCTAATCCAGGGTGCTTTTGTTGTAGTCTAGACTAAAAATGCTCAACTGCATCAAGGGAACCTGAAAATTTGTTACTGCCTATCCACTAAAAATCACTGTGGAGAGGACTGGGCGCAAAAAAAAGGTTTGCTCTACTTACTGACAGAATATTCAACTTTCTCTGAGTCACAGCAGAAAAATATGTGGAAAATACAATTTTCTCTATGCATTGTATCATGTAATTGTATGGAGAGCTTGTAATTTTAGCATACAAGTTCTCCCTAAGTAACAGACAGGCTGCTCTTGTGCTTTTCTAGCTGCTTCCCTGTCATGGATGGCCATATTACTGTGTTTTTACATCAATTCTCTGTTCCTAAAAATGCAAAACAAATGGTTTTCATAACAGGCAGTGGTTTCAGGCAACATGCTCCATTTTACTCCCTTCAGAATTAGCAATTTTGTAACAATGGACAAATGTGAATTATGGAGCATCCTTGCTATCATCGACAGATACTGTTAGACTCTTCCTCCTTTTAATTTTGTGGCTAGCTGCTTCCATATTTTCTATGATTTCATTTGAGCACCACTTGAATATTCCTCTGATACTCCTCTCATTTTTACGTAAAAATCGGGTTTTAATTAAAAAAAAAAAAAGAAGAGACAACAATGCATTTTTAAAATGGACAGCATTAACATGTAAAATTATTTATTGATTGCCAACAGGTTTTTCTTCCTGTTATTGCAGAAAATGCCTCTTCCAAAGGAAAAAAAAAGCCAACATACTCATTTGTCAGAGCAGAGATTTTTCTGACTTCAAGAGTGTGATATTCTTTTGCCACTGGATATTCTATGTCCAGGACTGGCTGGGCTGCTGTCCTGGCAAGCACTGCATGCACGCGAGCACATCTGTCCCCAGGTGTACCAGCAGGCACTTGTGACACGGGAGGTCACTCAGCTCCCACTGAGTGCAGCACAGCTCGCTGGGGCTGGGAATCAGCCTTCCCTTTAAACACCAGCCTAGGCACGGGGGCAGTGTTGGACCCCATAGCAAGGCAACCCAGCTGCTGACAAAACTCACAGGCACTACTGAACAGCTCAGGCTGCGCAAATGATTTATTGTATCAGTTATGTGGCATTTATTTTTATTTCTACCTTTTAAATACAGAAGAATGAAAGTATCAAACCCCCAAGTTTTTCTGCCCAAGTGTTCAAGCTGTGCTATTACTTTTTTTCGAAATTCAGGACTTGGTAGTTCCTGCTGCCAATTGGCAGCCTTGCTTAGCCTCATGCAGAATTAGACACATACAGATGGAACACATTTTCAAAGATCATCTGTCAAAATAACCACAGCCTAAGAAGCATTAATAAAATGCAAAGCACTCCCCAAGACTTCATTCAAAACACAGCAAACTCTGCAGGGATGTTGAAGAGTTTCCAAGAACCCTTGCAACTAAAGTGACAAATACGTTGTTCTTCCAAGGAACTGAGTATTTCAACAAGAAAACTCATGTGCTCATCTTTTCCTTGCCTTGAGATGTTAACCACCACTGAACATAAAACCTATGTTTACATCAGAAATGAACTGGTGTATTTTTTCTTTTTACAGATCATTCAGAAACAATGCTCTCCTAAAAATTCTGGACACAACTATTTTGACTTACCCTTTCCATCTTTGTTTTTCTTTTTCACAGATATGTTTGGAGTTGTAGTAGGGGACTCAGAACGAGATGGTTTTGGTTTCTTCCCTGAAATAAATCACCAGTAAGTCAACTGCAGCTTAAGAAAAAAAAAAAAAAAAAAGAAGAAAAAGAAGAAAGTAAGGAAGAAGAGGGAAGGGGAGGAGGAAGAAGGGGAAGGAAAGAGATTTGTTTCTCCAATTTAAAAAAAAAATCAATTGCTAGTAAGTTGGGAACTTAGTTCTGTGCTGAACCTCTTTTTCTATGGCAGGAGGGACCTCCTATGCTCCTACCGTACTTCTAAAAAAAGACTACACTATGCACTTTCCTGAAGTCCATGTAAATTGGAAATTTCTTTGTCTATTCAGGTACTTTTAAGAGTACTTGAAACAGACAAGATGAGAAAAATAAGCTATTAAGTATGTCTAAGGGCTTAGACAGGAAAAGGTAGATAAAATACAGAGCACTATCATGTTCACTCATTGCCAGAATGGAAGTTAGGGACAAAACAAGCTTGTCTCCTTGTTTAATCTATTGCAAGTGTACACTGACAGCAAACAAACATTTTTTTTCAGTCCTGTTGTCTTTTACACCTTTTCTAGAGTGACTGCAGATAAAGGGAAGTCCCTTGTTTATGAAGATCAGAAGAACCAGCAACAGGCTCTGAAAAACTACCAGTTTTTAAAGTCATAAGCATGGTGGCTCTCTGGTGAGGAAGACTGAAAAGAAGAAGTTACTTAGAACTGATTGCAAAAATGAAGGGCACTTGTTTGAAAAAGTTGAAAAATTAACTGCCAACACAAAAGGGAACAAAAAAGCTAAGTCATGCTGAAATATTTTTCAGTATAAAACCCTGCACTTATTCTTTTATTAGTTCTCATTCCCTGCAATGGCAGCTTTTACAGGTGGTGTAATTAATCAGAAACCTTCAGAACTTCTTTATGTAATAAGAATTTATCTTACCAGGTTTTGCAGTGACCCATTACTACACTGACATTACCTATATTATTACCTATAATCTTTTAAGAGGTAGAATAGACTAAGAATACACAAGACTCAGAGGAACACCTTCCTAGTTCAGATAGAATACTGCCATAGTTAAAAATCTAACGGAAATTTTCTTTTCTCTCTATTTATTGCATTTCCAAAGAATTGATGTTCTAAAGAGGCAAGAACCAAAAGGTCTGGGCAAGCCCATACACTGTAATTTTCCAGTTTTGGTTTTGTTTTGAGGGGCTGTTTTAGTAAGGAAACAGCTCTGCTGCAGACTGAGAGAGGGTTTTTCACTAGCTCTGAAAATTAAAAAAAAACAGCTCACTGCCAGTCTGCACTATTTCCTTCCTCTTAAACTTCCAGTATCTACTGAGAAATCGTAAGAAACTTTGGCTTAAGCACTCACTTTTTGACATTAGCAGTCTTGTTAAGTCCATCTTTGTACCTTTTCTTTTTTTTGACAGTGCATGGGGGAGGAGAGGCATGGGACAGATAGTTGAGAGAGCTATAGTAAGTAAACTAAACCTGGAGTCCTCCAATTTTCTTGCTTTCATCATTCACAGGATTCATGACTGAGAATGGGACACAAATGACACCCACTGTTTTGGCCAGTAATGTTGTCCTTGATTTGAAAGAAGGTAGGAAAACTTCTGACATTGTTTTCTTCATAGATCATGATATGAAAGAATAAAGAACTACTGGAGTACATTTTTAGCAGCTTTTCTCCACTGCAAGTTGCAGAAATGTCTGTTTTACCTAAAATGTCCTAGATGAAGTCACTCGCATGGATGAGCTTCTAACCCACAAGAAGTCCCTCAGAGTAAATTTGGCTAAGTGCTTTCCCCCATTAGAGCTGTGGGAGGACTCTGTTGTCTCATTTCCCCTCCTGAATAGGTGTAAATGTAGCCATTAAGGAGGAGAGAGTATTATTTTGATATCAGTAATTTAGACATTATGTCTAAATGAGTTCAGTTCTTCAAAGGAAATGAAGTGGAAAAGAGCTGAATTAGGTCACAACTGAACTGCTCTTAGTACTGATCCCATATAATTTATGCACTTCTGATTAGAGATAACCTAGGCTACTACATATGAATAGGACTGCAAGAGCAATTCTAGGCTCTCTTTCTTCAGCCTAGACTACTTCAGGACTCTGTAAGAAGACCATCCAAAATTAGAAATCCAGTGAAGGATTTGAAACTTGTTTACGGCAATGTGTTGCTGTTACTGCTGTGTATCTGGGCTAGAGATACTTTATTTGGATAGTTTTAGATTACACTGTGAGCTATAATCTCCAGGCACTGACTGATACCATCAAAAACCCAGCTAACAGAGACACATCAGATATGTTTCCTTTGTTTAAAATAAGATATTTTTTAAAAGCACATTAAGCACTAGCATGCTTCCTCCTTTGCTTCAATATTCAAATTCAAGCATGAATTATTGTTTTTCAGACTACATCACTAAATTCCTTTTTAGGAGAGAATTCTACAAAGAGGAAGGATAAAAATGTACAAGAGCTAAGCTTTATGTGGGCCTACCATAATTTTAGATAGTTCATTGGATTTACAATTGGTATTTTCACTTTCCTATTTCCATGGCTGTAAAACACTTCAGGTTAGAAATTCTTGCTACAAATTAAGGTGACATTAGGCAGTCAAATGTTCATTCTGATTAAATATTTTATGCTACACCAGAAAATTTAAAATCCATTTTTCTCATTATGTTCAGTGAGTTGGATTAAAAATATAATTTATGTACAACCAAAATAAATTACATATACCTAAAATATGATGTACATAACTTATGTGACTACCTCCTGCCAGATACCCTCCACAGCAAACACAAATACAAAGAAGGTATTAATATAGCAAATTTCCAAGTTTCTTTGGCTGACATCCCTTTGTTTTTCCTGTCTTTCTGATCCATTGCTGAACAGCTCAGTGTTCAGACATTCATCAACAGTACAAACATCATGCTGAACACGGGCTTGGAGCTGAGCAGATGGGTGGATACAGCTCTCCTGCTGCAGCAATAAGGCCAAAAGGAAAGGAAGTGAAACCACCACATTGCTTCTGGTGAACATTCTCTTGGAGGAGCTCTACTTGGCAGTGCCATTCTGGCGCAGTTAGCTGGCAACGCTCTGCACTGTGAATCCCTCTAAGTTTAGCTAATGGCTTATACATGCTATAAGTCTATTAAAGAAGTCTATAAAATCTATAGAAATCTTATAAAATCATGACTGATATGGACAGGGCAAAATGATCACCAACCATCCTTTGCCACACCTCATAACTGACCAAAGGAAATGAAACTGTACTTAAAAAAAAAAATGCCCTACAAACAAACAAACAAACCTCCAAAAGAATCCCACCACACACTGCACATTATCCAAAAGTGCACTACAAACTTAATAACATTTTGAAGTAATTCTTGTGCAACAATGGCTTAAAAATCCCCAGATATTTTGAAGTAATACTTGTACATCCCTCAGACCATACCATCTATTTTACAAAGCCTCAAGTTCACTGAAAACTAGTACGTAATGATACACTAAGCTGATGTATCCTTCCTAGCATTTTTTTTTTCTAAAACAAATACACATTTTCTGTGAAGCAACTGGTTTTCTAACCTACAGCAAGGGAGGAGGAAGGAGTGGGAGTAAGCAGAAGCACAACACAAAAGCATCAAACCAAAGAGGTTAAATGTATGGCAGACAGCAGCTCCCTGTTTTGACCCACACAGTAACCAACATTTAAAAAGAAGAAGGGAAGAAAAGAAGAATCAAAACCCTCCCAATTTAATTCTCTTATGGCTAGTTATCTCACAGTAGTGTGCACAGCCACAGTACTTCCCCAGAAGCACTTTCAAGGCAGCTGCTGGTAAAGCTCTCCTCCACAGTAGTTTCAGTTCAGCTTTCTTAGGGGAATCAGAGACTTGCTGACCCACACCCATCCCTATGAGACCTTGTGACACACATGGGGCTCAGGAGGCTTCACCAAGATCTTCACGGGCCAATATGGTCTCTCTCACACAAAACAATTCCCAACACTTGGAATTAGCATAAAAAGTCACAGTAAAAATGCACTCCTATTCCACAGGAGTATGGCTGGGTAGCAGAAGCCTTATTCTGGAAGGCTATTACACAGGGGAACCTGTTCAAGTCCTCATATTCTAGGATGAGCCCTAGGATTAGTTCCAGAAACATAAGCTCCTCTGTTTATTTTTCTTTTTATATTAATTTGTTGCAAGGGCATTTAACATCTATATGTATAGCAAGACTCTCTTTTCCTGCAGACACCAGCTTCAGAGCCTCTAATGGGGTCCACACTGAAGCAGGGTGGGAAAACAGGAGCAGAATGACTGGCTAACACCACTTCATGACTCTTTGGCACAGCACTGACTGCAGTGGAACATCCCTACGCTATGGAAATGTAATCTACTACAAATGGGACTTACTGTAGCATGCAGCTACTAATAATAATAAAAAAATCAGTAATATTTAAGAAAAGGCAAAAATCTCTTCCTATTCTCATTCCATATTCTGAACTGATCAAGTATCTTCAGTTGAAGCTAAGTAAAAGCTAATGAAAGTACTTCTGGATTCGCAGCAGCAAAAGCTCCATGGCTTGTATTGCAATTCTGCTCTGAAGAAGAAACTATAAATAGGAACAAGCACAGATTCTTTCTGTAGGATAAGCCATTGGACTTGTACGACATCATTAGTCTAAGCACCCGTACATGTGCTCACTCTAGGCAGGAAGAAAATGCTTTCCCTGCATTTCTGGCTGAGCTCACTCAGTTATTTTGGCTTGACACCCAGAATGGTTCCAGACACCCACAAGGAAGTGACCGTGCCACCCACTACTCTCCTGCTCCACACTGCTGTTCTCCAGTAGCATCTTACCTTTTTTCTTCTTTGGCTGTTCAAATTCTGGAGTCTCTGGTGACTCAGTATAAGGGTCTGGGGCTTGGTGAACTTCCACCACTTCGGGGATCCCATCCAGTGTGACCGACACATGTGTGATAGGAGGCACCATTTCTTCCTCTTCCGTTGCACCAAACATAGTTGCTTAAGGGAAAGGGACAAAAGATGTATTTTCACACAGCCAAAAAATTTTAAAAAGCTGGCTTTAGAGCAAAAATTCAAACATAGAATAAAATCAAACAATGACACTTAAGTCTTTCAGGTGAGAGAAGACTGGTTTATAATACAATATATGTACCGACAACATTTTATGCAAGCACAGGCACTACTAAAACAGAACAATTGAATGACAGAACCCACCCCACAAAAAGCACAATTATCTGCTGATCACACACTCATATTTAAGGCAATATGTAAATGTAAATGTATATTCTTTTATCCAGACAGCATAAACATCAACCAAATAAAACTGCAATCTAAACCATCCAACTTCATTCACACTTTCTCTCTGTAATCTTTGACTCTTTCCTTTCCTGTTCAACTCTAGCATAGCAATGAAATCCTTCACTGTATGCAACACTGGATTTCTGATCCTCAAACTACGTACATAAAGGCTATCTGGAAATTGCAACCATGCTGCAGTGAATCCCTCTTCCTTTCACAAATAAACCTGGCAAATACAGATTGGATTTTCATAAAAAAAACTTACTCATTCTTTTTTCATCCAACATAGGATCAGGGGAGTCCATATTAAGAAGTGCTTCAGCAGCTTCAATTGTTTCCATTGTTTCATCTCCATTATGACAAGATGCTTCAACTAAAAGCAAGGGGAGGAAAAAAAAAATCTTAAGAAGCTACAAACTAGACTTAAAGCTTAACATGATATTTATTCCTATTTAAATCCCAGAAAAAAAAAAAAATGATAGAGATGATATTCTACTAGATGTGTAGCAACAGATAGCTGGGGAGAAAATGCACACTGCAATAATTTTTTTTATTTAGTACAGTACATTTTTCAGACTGCATGTATAAACACCCCCAAACAAATCCTTTCTTTCTGCCTCATCTTTCTAACCCCTCTCTTTGCTGATCAAGCACATGCACTAAAACACAACACCCATGAAACTAAGAAATATCACTACCACAAGCAATATTCCAGAGATTATTATTTAAAAACACAATATTGCTAACTTCTTATGGTGCTCCAATGTCATATCCACAAAAAATCATGTGGATATGACACTTGAAGACATGATTTAATGGTGAACATGGGGGTGGTTCTGGGTTGACAGTAGGACTTGATGATCTGAGGGATCTTTTCCAACCCTAAAAATTCAGTGGTTCTATGAACAGAAGTGAATTCCATAAATAAGAGATGCCCATCAAAACTTAGAGGCCATGCAATGTAAAGGTGTAGTTGAACCTTTCAAATTCATGGGAATTACATGTAGGGCTAACAGTGCAGGCTCCAAGAACACACTGGAAAGCAAACATGAAACATGAAAAGCAATATAGAAGGTTGGGAAGCTTTTGAAAATTTTTGACTTCTAGACAATTTCTCATTAATCTCATGAGGCAGCCATCAGATAAACCTGAAGCTCCTGAACATTAATTATAATGCTTAAGGTACATGGTAAGATCATCTAGGGGTACACAACAAAAAAATCCAATACAATATCATTTTGCAAAATAACAGCTGTTCCAAGAAGATAA